CGCAAAAGCTTCACTTTGAACAGTTTTTGTCCAGATAATTTCAGCCTCGTTAAGTTCTTCAGTGCTTAGTTCACCACATCGTTTAGTTTTAAATTTAAGTTGTTGTATATAAATCGTAGTATCCAACTTGTAACACGGTATAATTTTCTTAAACTACTATATCTATTCAAATCCATTAAATGTGTCAAATTCGATTGCACTTCGCACACAAAAGACGATACTTCTTCCAGTTTACTTCTTTTTTCGCAATATACTTCTGGAGAAATCTCTAGACAAATTTCATAATTAGAGCCTTTTGGCCAATCCCTTTTCTTCAACCGAAGCCATTCTGGACCTTGCATCCAAATCGAACTGGACATAAACTTTTCCACGGTAGCTCCTCGAGATATGAAATCTGCAGGATTATCCTGCCCACTACAGTGATTCCAATCAGCAGGATCAGTTCTAGACTGGATTTCGGATACACGGTTCGATACAAAAGGTTTCCATTTTGAAGCTTTCCCTTTAATCCAATGAAGAGCGATTAAGGAATCTGTCCACATATATACCCTAGGACACAGGAAATTTAAAATTTGTTTTCAAATATTGGAAAAGTCTAGAAGAAATAACAGCTCCCATAAGTTCAAGCCTCGGTAATGTCAACCTTTTAAGCGGTGCGATTCTAGATTTCGCAGTGATAAAACTTGTATAAATACAATCATCACTTGACACGTAACGGAAGTACGCAACTGCTCCGAAAGCTTTAGGAGAAGCGTCAGAAAATATGTGTAGTTCTAATTCTTTCACCAACTTCCATGGTATGGAGAAATATTTTCTTTCGATTGTCAAATCTTTCAACAGATAAATCTGAGAGCACCAATTATCCCATTTTTTCTTCAAGTCAGTTGATAGCTCATCATCCCATCCTAAACCAAGTTCCCATATTTCTTGCATTAATAATTTTATGAGAACAATAAAAGGTGATGCAATTCCCATAGGATCAAATAACTTCGAAGCTGTCTGAAGTACACTACGTTTTGAATTCTTCCTATCACAGGTCATGTCCAGTAGAGGTTTTACATCTAACTTAAAAGTATCTTCTTCGGTGTTCCATATTATGCCTAAAACCTTCAAAGGACGTTCTTTAGTTTCTGTCACATCAGACAAACCTCGTTCACTCCATAAATTTCTCAACTCATCCGAATTAGTATTAAATTTTCTTAAATTCATGTTCGCATCTTTAAGAATTTTTACAGCGCTCTGTGAAAGTTCTAAAGTTTTCTCTATTGTATTTGCTCCGTAAAAAAGATCATCTACATAAAGTGCCGAGTCAAGCATTTCACAAGTTTCGCTTTGTTCAAGTTTATATTTTCTAATGTGGTATTTAATAGTCGCAGCAAGGATAAATGGGCTTGATGTCACTCCAAAGGGAACGCGAGTCATTCGTAAAATTTTGTAAGTTTTTGAATCACTTTCATCTGGAAACCAGAAAAAACGTAAATAGTCTCTATCCTCTTCCGCTATTCCTATGGTCAAAAATGCTCCCTGAATATCACAGCTGAATGCATATTCATATTCGCGAAATCGCAAGATTACATCCAAAATTCTGGGATTCAACGGTGGCCCAGGATTCAAGCATTCATTAAGAGATTTGCACCCATTACCTTTTGACGATGCATCGAAAACCAATCTGACTTTCGTAGTGTCCCTATCCGATCTTACTACAGCTGAATGAGGCATATAATAAGAATTCTCTTCTAAGCCGAAAGGACATTCTTCAACGATATTCAGTTTTAATTGCTCCTTAACTATATTCTTATATTCATTATAAACCCAATCATTTTCTTTCATTTTTACACTTAAGTTACGAAATCTTCGTTTTGCTACCGCGAAATTGTTAGACAAGTTTTCTGGTTTACCGTCCCAGAATAATTTAGTTGTATACATTCCATTTTCATATTTTAAATTACTTTCGAATTGAGAAATAAATTCCTCTTTAAATTTAAAATCTCCACTGTGAGTATCATTTATCCCCATTGAATCTAACTGCCAAAACTGCGTTAGTTTTTCATTTAATGCGGCGCAACATTCAATTTTCATAATAGAAATATCCCGATTCGCATTTAAATCTGATGGAGGGATTCGACCTTGAACAACCCTTCCAAACAGAGTATCAATCAAATACAAAGATTTGTTTAATCGCTGTTTTTCTCCCGTATGAATATCCCAAAAATACTGTGCTCCAATAAGCAGAGACAATTCATTTCCTGACGATTTACTTAAGTTTGACAACTGAATGTTCTTCCTCGAAAGTATTTGCATTAATTTGTTATGTGATACTTTAAACTGCGATCCAGAAATACAGTCAGTCAAAAGTGCTTCAATCGTTATTTTCTTGTCCGAATCACATAAATTACAAAGTGAAAACCGAACTACGTCATACGTTTTTTGTATTGGCACTCTAGAGCCGAAAGTGTAAACAGCTAGACTTTCTTGTCTAATTATGGGTAGTTTCATTTCTACGGCTACTTCTTTTCTCAAAAAACATCTCTGTGACGCATTATCTAACAAAATATTAATCTCTTTACTTTTATTACTGCCTATTAATACTGCCGAGCAAGTTTCAAGTAGTATGTCGCAATCATCGGATTCATTCACACATGCTACGGAAGACACAACATTTAATTTATTCGCGTCGACGGTCTGACGAGACTCCAGAGCGGGGGAAGAAGAATAAACATTGGGTTGATCGCAAATCAATTCGTGATGCATAAAACGTTTACAAATTCCACAAATAGATTTCTTTTGACACTGCTTATATACGTGCCCCTTCGAAAAGCAAGCATAACATATACCATATTTTCTAAGAATTAATTTTCTCTGTTCTACCGATAAGGGACAAGAGGTAGAATCGTGCTCTATTTTCGGTTTTGTACAAAATATACATTTTTTCACATCAACAATAAATGCAGAAGTAGTAGGAATGTTCGAATTTAATTTATTTTTCCCCTTATAATTCAATTTTGGTTTTATTAAATCTCTCCCATACTTTTTCATTAGGTTTTTGTAAAGGATTAAATTTAGTTTCCAATCGCGAATCTGAAGTGTTTAAATTAAAGTCTCTACTTAAGTACTCGTTACGTTCACGACACTGAATTTCAATCTTTAAAAATTCCAATAAATCAGATATTTTGTTTTCATCTTCCGAATGTGTTTTACGAGAAAATTCTAAGGACAAATCTTTGGGTATCGATTTTAACAACACTGGATACAATAGACAACTGTAACTATTAGGATTAATTCCGTTATTTTCTAATCCTCGAATATGTGTTTCGCATTCTGAGTAAAGTCTACGCAACGCTACAATGTCATATGATTTTCGTACTGGACTTAAGTTTAAAAGTCTTGCCATATGCGCATCGATAATAATATCTTTTCGACCAAAGCGTTCTTTTAATATGTTCAAGGCAATTTCATAGTTTTCAGAGCTTAATGCTAAACCACGTAGAGCTACCTCAGCTTCGTCTGTTAAGTACGATTTTAAATAACTAAACTTCTCTACATTACTAAGATTCACATTTTTATGGATAGCTACTTCAAACTGAGAATAAAATTCGTTAAACCTTAATATATTGCCATCGTATTGAGGTATCTGCAAGCGAGGAAGTTTTACTGTATTCTGCTGCTCACTTCTGGTTTCTACAACATTCGTTCTTTCAGTTTCGCGAACAACTTCGCTTTCTTTCATTTTCAGGATTCTATTCGCGCGAATTTTCCAAGTAATAATATTATCTTTATATTCTTGCTGTTTTTCAATTTCCTTTTCTATTTCTTCCGTTTTGCACAGTTTTAGAATTTCCTCGTTAAGATACTTTAAATTAGCTTCTTTATCTAAAAGTTTCGCTAAAAGTTCATCAATTAAATCAACTGATCTTTCCTGTTTGTTTATTTCAGTTTCTAACAGTTTCATAGTGTCAGTTGCCGCGCGTCTGACAGGTGCTCTAATCTTTTTTAAAGCTTCAATATCCATCATAACAATTTAAATTATTCAATTCGCTAAATACGTTTTTCAGTATTCAATTCGCAATTTACTTTATCTAAAGGTCTCTTCCGGATTATCGGCACCAAAAAGATTTGTAAATACGCATATACATTCTTTGTCGCTAAAACTCAATTCAAATCAAAATATAAAGAAATCTCACTTACCTGTCAGACGCATTCTCGCCTTTTATCATTTTCTACATATTTTATTGACGACACAATTAAATACATTTACAACAAAGAGAGGCACATATAAACTTTGGTTAATGTTTCGCGTTGGTGTTACATCTTTCGCAATCATCAAGGTTCTGCACTAGTCCGAAGAATTCAAGCGCACACAGCGCCATCTGGTGCAATACAGTTTTCTCAGCCTTAACCGTATTCCAAATGTTATAGACGTAATGCTTGATAACAATAGACGCTAGAATCTGGAAGCTCCAATGTACATTGGATATTTTGCATTTATCAAAGATATGTTTTTATATTTGTATTTTTGAGTTTGCACTAGTCGAGAATTCAGCGCACACAGCGTCATCTGATGCAATACAGTTTCTACAGCCTTAAACCGTTTCCACAAATGTTAATAGACGTAATGACTTTTGATAACAATAATGACGGCTAGACAATCCTGTGAATGCTCTCAATGCTACCATTGGGATAATTTTGCCATTATTATCAAAGATATGTTTTCTTTGATAATTTCTGTAGTTATTGATTTATTTATCACATTTATATGTTTGTAATTTTTAGACATTTTATTTTTTACAATGAAGAATTTTTAAGAAAAATCTCGAAAAATATTAATATATTTGGAAGTTAATTGCTCACAAAACTTTGTGAGAATGTCTTGTAAAATTATAAAATCTTTTTCAACTAAAGTAGCGTTATGTAAAATTTCAGAAAAGTTACAGTTTTTGCTTTGTAGGACTTAGTAATACGTATTTGAGCGCGTATTAACCCTCGCGTAAACTTTCTGTTGCAGAAATCGATCCTTGTGCGGAAGGAAATGGAGGTTGCGCCCATCTTTGCTTCAAATCTAACTTCTCTATCCGGTGCGACTGTCATTTTGGATATGTGCTGAAAGAAGACGGGAAGTTATGTGAAAGTAAATTGTATAGCTTTCCATTATGTGCTCTAAGTGTATGCAAACATTTCTTGAGTCCGTGAAAGATAACTCTTATGTAAGTTAAATAAAAGGTATAATTTTGTTTTATATGCAAATAGCCAACCAAGGAATGGAACTTTAATAATCTTTCGAAATATTCTAGTTTAAAGTTACAACAAACAATATTATATTAATATCAAAACAATGAACTCATGATTATCTGTGCTAAATAATATAAGACGCGAGTGATATTGCCCTACCGTTTATTTTATTAGCATCATTTGTAGTCGTTGCTAGAATCAATTACTTTGAAAATTGCTGTTTCAGTTAATGCTGTTGAAGTCTGCTGTAAAATAGCGCTATAAGCGAAGCTATTTATTCCTGATTTGTGGCTTGAACCTGTGTCCTGTGCGGTCATGACGAGACGTTTCTTACGCTCAACCTCTTATGCTATATATGTATATATATATATATATATGTATATATATGAAACAAGTAATATAAACAAATTAAAATCAATTCCTACTTAGGTCAACAAAGAAAAATTTTATTAACATTATTAACATTTTTTCGTTTCTAATTTATGAAGTTGTATAATTTCTCCTTCTATCCATCTCTCGTAATGCTTCATTATTGGAAGGAAACTTCCCAGTGAGTTTCGAGCAGTCCAGTTCTTCAATTAATATTCTATCTAATTTCACACGACTCAAGGCGACATATGCTTGACCTGCTGCGAGGAGTTTTCGTCCAAGATATATTACTGCATAATCTACAGTGCTACCTTGCATCTGATGTACAAAGCAACCAAAAATGATTTCAGCCTTGTTGCTGTTAACTGATTGGCTAAACATGAAACATATTACCGTAAATTCCTTTTAACTTCGGTCCATCCTCTCAGTAAGAATCAGTGCAGTAGAAATCGTGAGTTTTCTCCAAAACGTCACACACCTGTCATTTCTTCAATACCTAAAAGCATATTGTTGTTGTGACTTTTCTCAATTGTCCAAAAGCAATACAGATCAAGCCCACGAATTTTAACTTGGCGAGGAACGCAGGACTGCATATATCCTTGGCATGGGCCTTGGGTACTTTACAAATGACAGTGCGATTTTGCCTATTTATGTTCCAATTTTGAGGGAGAATCTTCTGGTGGCGACGTGTTCAAGGCTCTTCTACCCTTCTTCCTGTTCCAACAAACCATTGGTGGGGATTTTCACCTTATTGTATGTTTTAAGTTCCAATACTGCAAAGACACTTCACGCTTTCAGATGTTAAAATCTCCGGGATTCGAACACGCCCCAAACGATACGAAGAAGCAACCAATTCTCCCTCAAAATTGGAACATAAATGGACAAAATCGCACTGTCACTGGATTTTCACCCTACCGTATGTTTTAAGTTCCAATACTGCAAAGACACTACACGCTTTCAGATGTCAAAATCTCCGGGATTCGAACTCGCCCCAAACGATACGGCAGCCAGCTACGTACCGATCAGGGCAGCAGTCTGAGAGCAGTTTGTAGTGATGATGCGTAGCTAAGCCGCCCAATGGTAACAGGTTGTTCAAAAGCCCTGGCTAACAAAGTTTACATTATGGCTTGTTAAATGGGAATGGTAAATGGTTCTTACAGAATTTGTTCCTGTCGATTTCAAATGTGTTTTTTGAAATGTAGAGTGTTTGAGTAATTGAATGAGAAAAAGAACAATAACAGTAAATATATGGAACAGTTATTGAACATTACAAAAGCATACTATAGATAATAGAAACAATCTGATTCTTTTTTAAAATAGCACACAAAAATACGTTCATGTCAGCATAAAATATACGTTTAACGAAATCATTATTGACATTAAAGTTATTGGTTTATTTTTCATTTTTGAAAATGTAATTGTCCTAATAGTAAGTGTGTAAAGTATTTTATGTTAATTAAACTATTAAGGTTTAAGTCTTTACTACAACTTATTCATTCCGTAATGCTCCTCAGAATTCAAATTAGGTTTTTGTGTATTTAAGCTGTAGGTTTGAATGCTTAGAGGAGAGCTTCTAGCATCTTGCTGATATTTACCATCGTCAGCTCCTGCTACGTGATATTCCGCTTTAATGTCTTTCGAGCCGACGTCTAAATTATGCACCGTTAAATATTTGAGTGATCTTAAGTAGATTATTCTGGGATGTAGCCTCAGGCTACCTTACCTGCATTTGAAATTTAACTTTCTGTAATGCTAATTTAAATAACTCAATCGAAGAATTTCATCTATCACATAAGCAGTGCTTTCTTTCTATTCATTTAAGATTTAAATAATAAAGTTTACTTTGACCTTTTTTTTTTGACTTTTATGCTTTATATGCTATTTATATATATTTATGCTTTATGACCAAGCAATAACTCGCTTCAAAAAAGTCGAGTTAAATCTGCAGGCATTGACACAACTTTCTTGATACACGTAGAAGCCTAAATATACTAAAAGTGTTTAGCTTTCTTATAGCTTTTTTAATGCTATGCTTGTAATGTAATACACTAAATATGCACACAAGAAAAATTTGGCAACAAGAAGGGGACAAGGCGACAGCGGGGCGTTGCACACACGAATTCTTTCCAAAAGTGGACAACAAAACTAGAAGTACACAAGGTTTACTAAAGCAATATTTCATTATTATTCTGAGGGAATTTCACCGCCCTCTATATTTGTCGGGTCATGGCCCTTTCCCGGATTACTTCTGCAAGAGAATCCTGGAAAATACCGACACATGCTGAGCGGAGAATTGGATGATGCGGATTATTACTTTTTCAAATGTCCGTTCACAAAAGAACTCCACTTGAAAGGACCTTCAACATTGACATATCATTTTGAAGTCTGTTAGTAACACAGCGACACATTCCCCGAAACTAAAAAAAAATTATTAAAAAACTGAGCCATTACCGGCTTAAAGTCTCCCAGGCAGAATAACGCAAGAAATGCCGAACGTAATTAGCGTCCACAATGTACTGAACAGTATAAAAGGCTGTACAACAGGAGTTTAACAGGAGTATAAGTATATTTAGTATAACAGGAGTTTTTCCAGATGAACATATACTACGGAACACATCGTATAGTAAGTATCTAACTTTGGCATAATAATCCCCAACAATAGGCCCATCACCTCTTCCATTCAAACTTAGAAATGTACTAATGGCCCCATGGTGAGGTTAATTCTAAAGATGGTTAGCGTGTTGGGGTGTTACCTGTGCGATCCATGTTGAAGTTTCTGGTGCTCCACTCACTACTACTACATACCTACTCATGTGAAAGAATAGCTTTGTGTTCTAAGTACGTCTGGATTTCTGTCGCAGTCTAGGCGAAGCTTGTAGCCTATGATAAGATAATATAAAATTATTTGAATTTATAGCAGGTTACAGAAGGCTTGTCTCTAAGCCATGTCGAACTGACTGGCAATTTTATAATATATATCTTGGTTTAATCCCTCACATGTGAAGAGGTAGAATAAATAAGTTATTTTTTATGTGTTCTTTTTAAAGTTAGAAATTTTTATTATGATAATTCGACTCGCAGAATCTACGTAGCACCTTGTTTCAATGAGAATATAGCTTGCTAAATTAATTTGAACCCTAGACGGTGTTACAGACTTTCATTCGAATCGCGTCAGAGCAGGTTATATCTTCATGGTTGCCTTTTAAAATTTCTTGAAATTTGTCCTTAAAAATAAATTCCTAAATTTTGTGTAAATATATTCTCATTTAATTAATTCTATTTTGAATTTAAAAAGAATTCATTGATTATTTTACTTTTATGCATTTTATTCATTGATTATTTTACATGCAATTTATCAAGATATAATTCTAAAATGTGGCTCTGTTGATAATTCTTTCGGCTGCTCTTATGAAAGCGGCCAAGGAATTATCAACTATTATTTATTATTTAAAAATTCCTTTTTTATTGGTGTACTTTTATTTCAATTTTGTTTTCCAAGTTTTTGTTCTAATTGATTTGCGCTTTCCTGTTACATAGGGTCGATATTAATTGTATACATTATATTTCTTTCTTATACTAAGACTAAATGTGCTGAGACAGACAATAATAAAAGGCAATGTTATGATTACTAACTTATCAAAGTTTTTGTAAAGGATTATGGAATTTGTAATCTAACCGTTCCTATTTTTCATGCCCCGGTATGTTACTGTAATTAGACATTAATGACCTACGAGGCTTAACTGATGTTAACATTTCATGTAGAATATAACATCATGAATGTTGCCAGAGAAATCGGCTGTTCATAAAGGCATTCTAATTTTCGCTGTTAAAGTTCCTCAATTTACCTTTTAAAGTGAAACAATACACTGTTTATCAAGCTGAGCTATTAAATACGTATTTCTTAATAATTTCTATTTTAATTTCTTTGATAATATTCTGGTAAAATTTAAAACCGATCATTTTTATCAAATTTTATGCCATTAATTTAATTTATAAAAGATGTTTCTAACTCATGTATTATGCATCTCGCTATAGAATGGTAGTCTGCATGTCACTAATAATATATTCGCTAAATTTAATTTTTAAATTTCATTCGCAGGAAACGGAAAAGTTCTGCTTAAGAATAGTTTGTTATAGAGAAGGCCAATTTACTTGACATCGAAAAAAATGTCTGCTGCAATAAATATTTTAAAAAATTGTCACCAATGCAAAATTTATAACTAAACAGGAAAAAGAAATTCTAAAAACGTTTTTATAAAATAAGCTTTTATTTAAAACTCCTAAGATAATTAACGAAATAAAAAAGAAGAAAAATATGGAAGTTTCTTGTGATAACTGAGTACTTGTGTTGCTGGAAAGACTCAAGTTAAGGGGCGAGTAAACGATATTATAGATTCCTGTTTTATTATTAAGTTGTTAAATTTATTAGGTATTTTCTCCCTCCTTTCCGCATACTTTCGTATTGTAACTGGAAGCATGCCTGATGCGCATTCGGGAGGTACGAATTTCGGTGTAAGCATTATAAGGCATTTCTTCCGCCTTTTCAGCATGCCTTCGGAGTGTAGTGGTCAGCACGCTAGACGCGTATTTGAGAGGTCCGTGGTTCGAGTCCTGGCGAGGGTTCTCACGTCTTGCTCATTGCGTGCGTCTCACGTCTTCCTTGCTCATTTCTCACGTCTCTCAGCATCAAAACCTAATGTCTCTACAGTGGCAAAAAGGTGGTGAATGTTGATTCTTCACCACCAGTATTTGGCGATTGGGTCCTCTAAACTCCAGTCACCCCTTTAAAAGGAGAGAGTATATAAGGTATTTCTTCCGTCTTAGCATATCTTTGTGGTGTAATGGTCAGCACGGTCGATGCGTAGTCGAGAGGTCCGTGATTCGAGTTTCATTTCTCACATCTCTCAGCATCAAAACCTAATGTTTCCACAGCATTGCGGATTTCTTCGTTTTTATGAGTTCAAAAAAATTCTAACACTCTACAAATTCTAACACTCTACTCTAATGAACTCTACAAGTGACACCCGATCTAAAAGGTGGTGATCGTCACCATCAGCATTTGGCGATTAGGTCCCTTTACCCCAGTCGACTTTTAAAAGGGAGCATATAAGGTTTTTTTTCTCTCTGCTTTCCTTTTGCGTTTATAGTGTAACTAGAAGCACTCTCGACACGTATTAAGGAGGTCCGGAATTCAAATCCCGTCCATGGCCCTGTGGATTTCTTCAGTTTTCTGACTTTGAAAAAATTCTAATGACTCTGCAAGTTAATGAAAATTGTTCACTGTTCTTCAAGAGACTTTGTGTTACTCACGCTTTTTTACTCTTTAGAATTAGACCCTTGCTCTCATAAGAATGGAGGATGTGATCAGATCTGCCAGTCACGAAACGATGAGCCAGTATGCAGCTGTAGGACGGGCTATGATCTGCGACGAGATGGAAAAACTTGCAAAAGTAAGTCGGTCTTTTAAAAGTTCTTTTGAGCATTGTCATACCAAATTATCAAGATAATGAAATTTCGATTTCAGATTTCTTGTAAAGTACCTCAAGTTGCTTAATTTTTTTAAAAGTTCTTTCAGTACTTTTAAAACTGTTTGATACTTAACTTAAATTTCGTTTAATTTGTTTGAAACTTTGATTTCAAATTTCGTGTAAAATATATCATCAAGTTGCTTGAAATTTTATTCAAGTTATTTCAGTACTCTTAATTGCTTGATATTTAACTTAAATTGTTTGAAATTTTAAGTTGTAAAAAATTACTTTAAGTTCTTTAAAATTTAAGTCTTCAAGTTGTCTGAAATTTTCAAAATTCAGATATTTTACGCCAATAAATGCTTTGTAACAAAGACAGAAAACTTAAAATAAGTGGTAAGATTTTTTTTTTCGAAATATTAAACACTGTATGAAGAAATAGATTGCTTTAAAGGAAGTGGTTTAAATTTGAATCTAGCCTCTTTTAGGATACTATAACCTCTTCTGAAGTATAAAAAATTCTCTCTAATTTTTTTTCCAGTCAGATTGATTATTAGAATTGTTTTTGATGAAAATACAGTTATTCTTATTACTCCATTGAATATAGGAATCATAAAATCAGCTCTTTTGTAGGAATTTCCGTAGGAATGATAAACTTGGAACTAATGAAAGGAAAAGAAAATATTTTGACAAGCAGTGTTTCCAAACATTAGATTTCGATTCAAAATGCTCCGAAGAAATTTAATTTATTTGATTATCATTCTGTGCTACTATGAAGCTGAATTACGATATAGAATATTCTAGGAACTTTTAACTTAAATTGAGTTTGAATCCCAATAAAAATTAAAATTTATTAGAATCGTCCAGGTATTAAAAGTAACTTAACACATAGTTAAAAAAAAAAACGTCATATAAGACGTAATTAAATGAAAAAGAGTTGAGGTTTCTAGAAAGTATGATTTTTATAAGAGGAAGGGAATGTGTTATTCAACAGACAGTGTCAATTTGAAGAACAGTAAAAGACTAGTCAGTACCAAATGAATAAAACCAGTGAAAATACTGGTAATTTAACGTGAGTTCAAATCACAAAGAAGAAGCTGCGAGAATTCTTATGATTTTTACCTTGTGTGAGGTTAAGTAAGAGCAAGTTTCCCTAAGAGAGTCCTACCTAAATGTTATAAGGTATTTTCTCGCTCCTTTCCACATGCCTTCCTGGTGTAATTGGAAGCATACTCTGCGCGTATTCGAGAGGTCAGGAGTTTGAATACCAGAGAGAACACTGCATATTTTTCACGTCTCCAGCTTGAAAAAAACATAATGGTTCTACATGTGGTGCCCCAACTAAAAAGTGGTGGACGATAATTCGTCACCACCAGGATTTGGCGGTTGGGTTCTCTAATCCCAATCACCATTTAAAAAGGGGAGTATATAAGATATTTTATCCCTCCTTTCCGCGTGTCTTCGTGGTGTAATTGGAAGGTGATTGACGCCTATTCAAGAAGTCTGGAGTTTGGATCCTGAAGAGGGCATTGCACATTTCTCACGTCTCCAGCAACAAAAACCCTAATGACTGTACAAAATATTTGTCCTCTTAAGCAGATGCCTAGATGTGTGTAATAAATACCCTAGATCGCTAGGGCTGTAAATGAAATACTGCTCATATATCAGGCACTGAATTCGAAATTTTGGCAGCGGAAGATTCGCAGATGCAGTTATGTCTCAGGCTTACATTTTATTAAATGTGGTCAGATAACACTCCGCATTTATTGTAACACTAAACATCTTTCGAATAAATCGTAACCATATTAATCGAAAGAGGCAGCTTTTCTTTGTTACACGCTGTTGAAAGGTTTTTACGTACAACTTACAAGGTTGTTACTTACAACGACCATAAACGTAGCAGAATTCTACCGCGACCACTTCATGCTACAGGAAGGGCATAGGAAGAGCTCTCAGCGGAATAAGTTCATGTGGGAGAAATTATCCTTAACTTTTCCTTTTACTACTATAGGTACACTCACATTGAGATTATGATGCAGTGTGCTTCAACAAATGTGTTATCTAACTGCAGTAACAAATCCTAAATTCCTCTTAGATTCAGAAAAAACGTTCCAGTGAATTTTAACATTTCTAGAGTTCTGACCGAGAGGATAGGTTACCGTCTTCAATCGGCAGCTTGAGTAAAACACCAATTAAGTACATTTTTATTTCTTTATCTCCTACTGACGAAAGGAGGTTCATACCCTCCTGTACCTTCTCCCAGCTGGCTACTTTAATACGAAACACCCTGTTGGAAGAAGCGTTTTTACGTTTCCGAATAAAATGCTATGCAAGGGAACTCAACCATCAATCTACTGTTAAAGAGATCTTGCCTTTAGCGTTGTCCGCACTTCCAGCTGTTTAAAGGTGAGGCGCAATTCCATCTGAGAAGCTCTTGTTGTAGATCTGATGCTTTATATTTACTGACACTTCATTCCTCCTGTGAAGGTTACATTATTGCCTTGCAGTATGTTGCAATTTATATGAATTAAAAGTCCTTACTTGTTTCCTCTTGATGTATTGTGATTATTTTGAGTTTCTAGAAGGCTTAAATTCAAGGATTTCAAACCGAATGTATCTTGAAAGAACAAAACATATTATGAAAGATTTCTATCTGCTATATTTTTGCATATTATCCTCCTTCTTATCTTGTTTTAGAATTAAATCCTTGTAAATGGAAAAATGGTGGCTGCGAACAATTTTGTCACTTTGAAAATGGATCCATCCGCTGCGAATGTCGTTCGGGATATTCTCTGCAAGAAGATGGATACTCATGTAAAAGTACGTTGCTTCATTTACAAATAAAAATTCTGAATTTCTTTTAAATGTGTTGTTAAATATTCTAAATGTTTTCTGTAAATGTTCACTCGTAGTTGGTTTCTAGCATTTGAGGACCCTGTTATATAATATTTATACTGGACTTTTAAAATCAATAATATGTGCAATTTTATGATAAATTTGCAATGTTTTACTGTCTAGGAATCAATCCGTGTGAACGAGAAAACGGAGGCTGTGAGCAGCTCTGTCGTTATGAAGCTGAAGTTTTAAGCTGCGAATGCAGAGAAGGATATCTTTTGCAAGTTGATGGAAAGTCCTGCAAAAGTATTTAAAACATTATTTTACCAAATGTTACCATGTGTAATGCTTTCAAATTAGTAAATATTATATTGCGTTATGTATTGCAATTATAACTAATTTCTTAATTGTTTATTTGAAGAAAAAAATAAGCTGTTTGGTATGGTAAATGGAAAAAATCAACTGCACCTGGGGTTATCATCGTGACCAAGTCGCAAGTTAATAATAACGACTGATTTCTCCTTTTTTCTTCCAAATATATTTAAAACATTGATATGGTTTTTCAAGAAACATGCATGCTTACTGCGCCAATTTTCCTGTGTTTGTTTCAAAAATGTTTTTCAACGAAAATAAAGAAATATACTGGCAACGACTACTCTATAAAATAAGCTCCATCACTCGGTAATCGTATTCTTTGCTGCGTTATCAACTTCTGAGTCATCACATTCTTAATCTTTTTCATATGTGAGATGAACGTCATGTAAATCAAAATTCTAACATCGGATTTGCAGTAGTACCTTGGTTCTCCATTTTGATTTGGCTATTTCTCCTTTCCCCAAAAGTAACCACATACCATAAATCTCTCTAAAGTGCGTCATTTCAAAATTAATTCATGTCATATGCTTTTACGATAACGACGCACATACTTGCACAATGCTTCATCCAACTATAATTTCAAATCTCAAACCGAAATTTAAAACTAACCAATCAAAATCAAACTAATTCATTAAATTGCTTAATTACATAAGTAAAACTAATTCATTCTGAGCTGAGCATTAGATGCGTCATATTCTCTAGTTTCACTCGGTCACTGTATCAGGTTCAATGTTCCGTCTTACTTTCTTTGGGAACATGCAAGGACCTGACTCGGAACAGAGAGCTTACTAAAGCTATGTTCAATAACTGTGGGAAGTAGACAGGATACACAAGAAGGGTATACAAAACCCTTTATTTTTCTCTATTTACAATAATTTCCGTACTTCGGAATACAAAGACCCACTACTTGTGGTCTAAACGTAAGAATATAAAAATAGAACTAAACTCTAACTTAACTTTGAAATAATAAACGTGGAAGATTGGCCTTATATTAACAGGAAGCCGTACGTAGTACAGAGAACTGTTAACACTACAATACGTTTAAAATTATCAAGAGGATTCAACCTCTGGCCTGGAAGGCAACCAGCAACTGAGTAAAACTTCTAAGGTAAGCGGCCTGCTTCGACTAACTCCTTCCTCTGTCTCGCTAGGCAAAAAGCCACAACTTAAGTACTTGGCGTTCGCCAGACAAATTTGCATAAATAAGTTAACGCTTTTAATTCTGGCCAGAAGTAGAAAATAAGAAGTGATAGTAAAGATTTAAAATAAAATAAACGTTAGTAAAACTTAAGATCCTTACATACTTCCCGCCAGAGTTAATTAGTTTGAAACTGAGGTCTAAAACGACCTTGTTGAAAACTTTTAGCTCTAGAATCTAACGCGAGGCCAATCTTTTACAAACATTTCTCACTAGAAACTAGAAATTTAAAAAAAAGAAATTTGTTTTTACAATAGCAGCTCCAAGGACACGCAATTTTTCATCTGTACTGCATCTAAACAGGAGCTTTTATTCAAATCTGGTTCCTTCCAGAGATCTGGAAGGAAAACTAGTTTAATGAAATGTTACACAATGAAATGGCAAGTAACATGCATATTTATATTTCTCTTAACATTCTTATTTCATTCATGACTATTTTAATTATCTCTCCCCGTGCTCTCTGACATGTGTTGTAAAAGAACACCAAACACGAATGTGTTTATGTATACGTGTTCAACACTTCCTCCTACAATCAAAACACTAACGTGTTAAAAATTCAACATACCAAGACCTCGTAACACACCCTAACTTCAACTCTAAACCCTGAGGTACTATACATAAACACATTCGTGTTTGGTGTTCTTTTACAACACATGTCAGAGAGCACGGGGAGAGATAATTAAAATAGTCATGAATGAAATAAGAATGTTAAGAGAAATATAAATATGCATGTTGGCTAACTCTGAAGTGTAACGTCAGAGAGCCTAACTACATTCATTCAACCTTTAACACGTATTCACCATAATTTGGTCTTTTTTCAGTCACACGAATAAAAAAAAAAAATTTAACATTACTTTCACTTTTACCATATCACGGTATTTCTTAACATTTAAAATAACAGTTCACATTGTATATAAGAACATATTAACATGCCGTTAATTTTACGCATTTGACAACATACATTAGTAGTACATTGTTAACTTCTATTCTTTTCAAAGCAAGTGCCAATTTTTCTACATCGAAATACTACATTTCAAAAAGTCTTTCAGACTAAAACTTCTTTCTTGCCAGAATGTTTTAAATAAAATTTATACAATAACTTGTACAATATTTAAGTATTTACACATCGCTATTATACATCAACTTTAGTTTTACGCGCGAGTAATTGAAAAACATAATACCAAAATCGGTAACAACTCATTTCTCGCCCTTTTGGCGATAAAGGTAGACCTCGCATGAGGTAAAACTTCTTGAAATCTGCCACTTGCAGTAAGAATGAAAGATTAACTTAAGTTTGCAAAGTAACATAAAATTCTACTTATCTTTGTGATATTCGGACATTCTTTTCTGAGCCCAGTCCTGGAAGGTAGCGTAGATTCTCGTTTGATTTATCCTCCTTCTTGTGCGGGCTCGCCTTTCAGTGCCTTCCTCTAGAAGCTTTCTTTTTTCTCCAGTTCGGTCACCCTTGAATACCTTCTTTTTCGCCTCTGCCTGTGGTCTTGGCCGTTTGATGGCAGCTGGTCTTGGCGGAACCGGGAAACTTCTTTCTTTCGCGTTCCTGCTTGGACCTCGCTGGCCGCCGTTCAAATTTTCCTTGTAACTTTTCCTCCGCCGCTGGTGGCCCTTCCGCAGTTCGGCGACATTTGCTGCGAAGAGTCCTGTCGGATGAGTAGATCTTCCGGTTTAGAGCCGGGTTATAGTTGCCGTCATTTCTCCTGGCTCTCTTTGCATTCGTATTCTGGGTGGTGTTCTCCTTCTTTTCTGGATGGAACGGTCTTGTTACCTTTTTCCCGTGGGGAAACTTTCTTTTCTTCTTTCACTGCCTTAATGGCTTGCCCTTTGTACTTGTCGTTGTTCCACCTCTGGATTGTGCCTGCCTTGCCGGCCGGATCCTGCAAAAGATCTGTAATATTTGCATTTTATTACGATCATAGTAGGGTTTGATTTGATCAAGTTTGCGGTTTTGCAGGTTTCACCATTCCTGGCTTTTAACACTACTACAGCGTGGTAGTTTTTTTTCTATGACATATGGTCCTTCAAATCGTGGAAAAACATTTGGCAGTTTTGTCTTCTGGTGCTGAAGAAAGTGAATGCTTAATTTTAACACTTCATCCCCTACTTTATAAGTTACTCCCCATCGTTTCAAGTCATAATACAGCTTTTGTTTTCTCTGTGCTACTTCAGTATTCTTTTTTGCTTCTTTAATTCGTTTTTCTATATCACCCATTTTAAATTCTGGGGCTCTTTGTTGCACATAAAATAATTTATCTAACGGCGTTATAATTTTTCTGCCTAAAAATAACTCAGCAGAGAGTTTTGCCCGTTGTATCATGTTTTGAGGTCCTAAGGGCGAAAGCAAATTCATTGACATAGTTTATTTCAGCTTTTATGAAAATTTTTAACATAACTACGGATAATTTTCACTATATTTCTATTGACCCGTTCCGCTATATTTGATTGCGGCCGATACGGGACCATTTTTAAATGACGTATGCCCAGTTTTTGGCACATGTCTTCAAATACATTACTTACAAATTGAGGACCATTATCCGATATAACTTTTAGGGGCGCCCCGTATTTTAAAATATATTTATTTAAAATAGAATCAGTAACTAATTTCGCGGAGGCTCGTTTTAAGGGAACAATTTCGGTCCACTTACTATAATGATCAACCATAACAAGGAGATAGCGACTTTTATTTAATTGACTTTTTGGGAAAGGGCCCAATAATCGATGCCATTTTTCGAAATCGGCCAATTATTTTTCTTTGGAATTCGGATTTGGAAATTACTATTTAGAAAACCCGGTTAATTTAAATTAACTTTATTAAGCTTGACATGTTGGGCATGACTGGACATACGCCCTTGTTAACTTTTGCAGTTCAGGAAAATAGACTCGCGTACGCGTTTAGTTTTTCGAATACCAGCATGAGAAGCTAAGGGCTGTCATGGAGCTCCTGCAGGATATTTAATCTAAGACTAGCTGGGATAACAGGTCGAAATTCGTTGTTGGAATTCGTAGTTTTTGTATAAAATAATAGACCATCTATTAGTTCGTAATGGGCCGCCCTATTTCTTATCGCCACAATATCTTGGTGGCTAAAATTTCCAGGATCCTTTAAATACTTATAAATGCTTCCAAACTCAGGATCCTTACCCAGTTCGGTTATTACAGTTTCTCGGGAATTTATTGTACATGCTGTGAGCATTGGCACCTTTACAGTATTACCTTCTTCATCTATTTTAATTCTGGATAGGGCATCTGCTACGATATTTTCCTTTCCGGGGGTATGCTTGATTACCAGATTATATTCTTATTAACCTTGGGGATAAGTTTTTCCCTGAGTACAATCTAGTTACCGCCGCATGATCAGAGTACACTGTTATTGGCAACCTTTCCAAAATAGACTCGGAACTTTTGCACTGCTAACAGAACTGCAAGTGCCTCTCTCTCGGTCTCGCGGAATAGTTTCTTTGTGTTTGATTTAAAGTTCGGCTAAAAAATGCCACGGGCTGATGATTTTGCGAAAGTACCGCTCCTACCGCATAATCCGAAGCATGCGCTGAAATTTCTAAATTCTCATCCTTTTCAGGAAATTTCAACACAGGGGCTTGCGTTAATGCTTGTTTTAATTTTTCGAAAGCACTATTGGCTTCGGCCGTCCACAAGAATCTTGCCTTTTTCCTTTTTAATTTTAACAATGGTTCAGCAATAGCTGCAAAATCTTTTATAAA